AGATAGATAGATAGATGGCTAGATATAGATGGACTGAGGGAGGGAAGGGCGGACAGATGGACAGAAGGATGAGACAGATAAATATAGGTCAGGAAGTTTGTAGTTGCGAGCGCCGTAAAACCTCTACAAAAAAAAAAAAGATTATGTTTCGTTGTCGCCTGTGGGAGACCCGAGTTCGATTCCTGATTTCGGAGAATTTCTGTCGAGTATCTCCGTCTTTCTGCTGGGATGTTTTATCCCTCTCAGCTCTTGGCCGGGCTGACTGGATGAGAGGGTCGAAAGCCCGCCTCGTAAACTAAATGATTTAAATTGAGTGGATAGGGAAGTGAAAACACCTACATTAAAGATTTCACAGACACGAAGGACAAAAAAGAACCGTTTGCTTCTCAAACTCCGTAGAAAAATTGTACGTCTAAAGCCATGATATATGAAAAATTCGTAAATAAATAGAGAAATAGATAAATAAATAAATGAATAAATAAATGAATGAATGAATGAATGAATGAATGAATGAATGAATGAATGAATGAATGAATGAATGAATGAATTAATGAATGAGTAGACGAACCAACAATCAATCAATTAAAATGGACGATGCGATATTTACCTCTCGATTTGGTATCCCGAAAACAAACAAAAAATGGTCTGTCTTGTGTCAACGTTGAGACGATATAGAATTTTGGTTAGAAAAGAATAATAATAAGCACTATAATTATTGAAATACTTCCACAACTCTCAGAAATAAGCCTGTCTCTCGCTTTCCTTCTGCCACCACTCAATTCGCTAACTCTGATACCCACAGCCTTTTACTTTTATATAGTATGCTCTAAAACTAAAATACGTCAGCTTTTAGACTTTCCGAACCAATCCACAGAAAACAACAGGACCACTATAAGAGAATTGTCACCGTTTATTTTAGAAGAAGGAGTTAAATCATTATGCGCTGGAACTTTTTTTAGAATGAGAAATGCAATTTCCATCTTCAGATATTCAGGATTTATTTCTACCCTCGAGTTCCAAGGGGTAATCTCTGGTCCACGTTATTATGAGATCATTAATGAGAGCAAGATTGTCACGGCTATTTATAGATGAGACTGTGTGGGTGTTTGTGTGTGCATGTATGTGTGTGTATGTGAGTGTGTATGTGTGTGTATGTGTGTGAGTGTATATGTGTGTGTGAGTGTTTGAGTGTGTGCGTGTGTGTGTTTGTGTATGTGAGTGTTTGTAGGTGAGTGTGTATGTGTGTGCATATGTTTGTATGTGTGCGCGCACTTTTGTGTATGTTTGTGTGCACTTGCGTGTATGTGTGTGTCAGTGTGTGTCTGTGAGTTTGTGAGTGTGTGTGTGTGTGTGTGTGTGTGTGTGT